GCCAGTGCCCACCACCAGTCCAAGGAGAGGCCAATTCACCCCAAGAGTCAGTGTAACCCACGGTGCTTCAGGGATGGGCACATCCTCAACCCAAATTCCATCAGCCCCAGGGTACCCCCTTTCTCCTCAGGGATTATTTAATTAAACAAGTGAAAAGCAGACCTTTGCCACAGAGTTTGTTTCCTCTATAATTCAGGCAACACCCCAGAGCACACAGCTGAGCACAGCTCAGCTCCTTTCTACTTAGCACAGAAAAGTGCTTGCAATTAAAGGGAAAGGAATATTAAAAACCAAAAACTGGCCACAGAGGTGTGGTAATGTGACCACAGCAATATTGACACCGACAGCATCATGTGAGGGCACCCAAACCATCAGGAATTACCCCAGTAACTTTTTGATCTCTAATCTGCAAGATGCAACACAGCTCACAGGAAAATTAAATTTTAATCTGTTGCATTCCAAAGGTGTTTTCTGTCTAGTTTTCCTCAAAACCAGAGGCTTACTGTGAATAATTGTGCCACGGGATACAGCATTTATAGCATGAGTACTACAGACTTCTATACAACACTGAAAACAGCCCCTTCTTCTATTAGCTCTAAAGAAGCACCAGTGGCTGAATGCAGAGGAGAAAAAAAGGTTCAGAATTCATTTTTAATATGTAACTTGAAACAGCCAATTGAATTAAACAGGAACTTGGAGTTAGGGCCAGTACAGAACATTCTGAGAGTTTCATATGGAAAACTCTGAACAGATAAAATGTAACAACTGCAAAGAAATGTACTAATTTTCTCAAAATATGAGAAAAATACCAGAGCCCTTTATTTTTACTTTGAAGTTCTTTCATTTTTCTTATATAACCTGGTTGAAATGACAATATAATTTGTTCAACATTTCCAATAGCTGGGTTTTTTTTTTCTTTCCAGAATTTTTATTCCATGGAAAAGTACATTCTGACTCACAGTGAAAAGACATTTTTGAATATCAAATTTTCCCCAGAAAAGTAAACTGCATTTTAATCAATAGCACCGGTAAAGAAATTGGAAATGGTATTCACACTGAGCAGCTTAAATGAATGTCAGATACTCACAACAGAAGCAAAAGCACTTAACAGGCCAGTTTTTAGAAAAATAACTTTCAAATAAGACAAATCTTGCCGAATGAGACAATCTGGGTTTGCAATCTTTTGTTTAATGCAAAAGCAATCCCTGCTAACAACAGCATTTAACTGTGAATCATGTGCAGTGTGCTTCAAGATAGAGTTTCTGACACCAGGCTCCAGGAATTTATTTCTGCACTTGCCACAGGGATCCAGGCTCGAGACTCAGAAGCAGCAGAATGTGATAAATCAGAGCATGTCCATAACCCTTCCGAAGAACATATTAATCCAAAATAGGAACGGGGTGACAAAAGACTCCTGTCCAATCAGAATCTGGGAACAGACAGCTCAGAAGCTGTGAACATCCACAGCTCCTGCTGCACTTTGTGGACACCAACAGGGAGATGATAAAAGCTCTGCGTGATGAGGGGAGCGGAAAGGCAGCGATGAGGAACAAAATGGGCAGGACCCAAAGAGCCCCAGCTCTGCCTTCCAGCGTGTTCGTGTCCAAGATGAAATCTGGCTGGATTACAGTTTTGTCCCTCGTGGACAGTGAGAAACCAGGGCCCGAGCAAAATGTCGGGGTGCGAGGGAAACTGGGAACAGCAGGGAAGAGCAGGAAGAACTGGCAAGGCAACTCTTGCAGGGACTGATGCTTATCTGTATCACAGCACCAGGTGGGCAGCGAGTTACACCACAGTGCTGCACTTCTATCCCAGTGGGAAATAACCCTCACATCAGATACCACTGACTTACAGCATTCACTGACAATTGCAAGTAGGAAAAAAAAAAAAAAATTAAATCAGCATTCTCCCCCCCCCCCCGCCCCAAAGTTCAATAACTCCACCAGAATTTGGTACCTTAGAGACAGCCACAGAGAAATACCTCAAGGAACAAGCTGCAGTTAACCTGCCCAAGAGGTGAGAGTACATTTTATTTCCAGTTTAGTACTTCCAAGGTGAATGGATCGTTTCTGCAGGGCTCTCCACCGGATATAAAAACTTCCTTTCACAGGGCACTTGCTCTCAGTGACAACTGTGTGTGAACTGTTCCCACCCATCACACTTTGGTCAGACACACTGCTGTGAAAAAGCAGCTGTTTTCACACACACACACGCAAAAATAAGTAGCAGTTTTTAAGGTGAGAACTCCTCAGTCTCAGCTGCAGATAGACAAGGGATTAATGGCAATTGAGACCCCCAAAAGCAATCTGCCCTTAAGGATCAGCACCGGGGCAACAAGTGAACCAGCTGCCACCAAAGTCCTTACAGGAGCTGGAAATACAAAACCCTCGGGAGTGCAGTGAGGATGAAGGAGACAAGGCTTGGGAAGTACTTCAAGAGCCACCACCAGAAGATGCTTGAAGAATCAGCTGCAAAAGCACATTAACATAGACACTACTACAGTTCGAAAGACTCCTGTCATCACTGAAATATTTACTGCAACTCTGAGTCGCAAATTCCCCTGACTCATTATGCTTCTCCCAGTTCCCGAATTTCCATACTTTAGCTCGGAAATTAATGCAAGCAATTTGAATGCAGACAGCACAGGAAAGCGTTGTGGGCTTTTTACAGTTGTTGACTCACACTCCTGCCTGTGCTCCCTGCCCAAGGAACAATTTAGGCAAAGAATTCACTGTTTTAAAATGGATCAGCAAGATAAAGGGTTTTCTTACCCCTCAATGTAAAAAGAAGTTATCTAAAGTCACCAGCTGGAATCAAGACTTACCTCACAGATCACTGTTTGAATAAAGGAGAAAAAAAAAATCCTTTTTGATCCAAAAGTCCGTATTTTCCAGCAGACATCAATATCCAGCCCTCACAGGTTCTGCCACTGAGAATAAAATCCCAGAACAACTTTTATGCTTGATCCCCTTTCCTTTGTTTCCATGAGCTGCAGCATGTTAGCGCCCTCTGAAAAATCAAAGAATTGCTTTCCCAGGTGATACAAACGGCTCTTAACCTTTTCCTGCCTGCACCAACAAGGCTCCTCCCAGCTCCTCTCCACTGTAATTCAAGTAAAAAGGCACTAAAATAAAGGGAAGCCCACGAGTCTTGACTTGGCTGTCTGTAAGAGCTGATAATGAACTTCCAAATAACTCCTTTGACAGTATCTGATCGAACTATTTCAACAGTGTCTCCAGCTGTACAAAGAACAGCCTGTTCTCCCCACACCGGCCACCTTTAGAAGGGAAGCTGCGCAGAGTTGTCCTGTTAAATAAATAGGATTCCCTACCTGCCCTCTTCCTGTGGTGAGAAATGATGGGATACTAACACCGAAAGAGAACAAGCCTGAAAACTGGGCAGCTGCCAAAATACCGGCAGAAAATGAGAAATGAACACATTTAAATAAAAAAGGGATGGTCCCAGCCTTAAGTCAGAGGGACAGAGACTGGGAGCACATTATCTCCAAGGCCATTATTCAGTTTATAAGTGGTTTGGTTGTTGTTTTTTTCTCCCAGCCCTCCGGTTTGTATATAGATTTACAGAAACTAAATATCTTCCAGGTTATGGATAGCAAGGACAACAGGCCAGCTCTTTGTATGGGCTACAATTATTCCAGATTTACATGCAAAACCTTCAAGATTTGGCTCATGTACATCAGTTAACAGCAGGTGGGAAAACACAAAACTTGTTCTTGTGTGGACACCTCAGTGCCACAAAGAGAGGGAGCACTCCTAGTCAAATCCATCCTCAAAATTCAGTGTAAAGGGACCCTTCAGCACTCATCCCTCATCATCCCCAGCCCAATACCTGCCTGCTGCAGGCTGTGGGGTCTGTTCTACCACGCCTGTAGTGAGAAGACAAGAGGAAACAGCTTTAAGCTGAGATAGGGGAGATTCAGATTAGATATTAGAACTTTTTTTTCTCTGTTAGGGTGGTCAGGCATTGAAATAGTTGCCCAGAGAGGTGGTGGAGTCACCATCCCTGGAGGTGTTCAAGAGGCATCTGGACCTGGGGCTGGGTGATGTGGTTTAGGGGTTACACTGGGTTGATGGTTGGACTGGACTGTCACAAGAACTGTGGAATACTGAGCTGGAAGGGACCCATCAGGATCATCGAGCCCAACTCCTAGTCCTGCTCATCACACCCCAGCAATCCCACCATGTACCTGAGAGTATTGTCCAAACACTCCTTGAGCTGTGCCAGCCTTGATGGTGCGACCACTGCCCTGGGGAGTCTGTTCGGTGCTCGACCACCCTTTGGTTAAAAAACCTTTTCCTGACATCCAGCCTACACCTCTCCCCTGACTCAGCTTCCCGCCGTTCCCTTGAGCCCTGCCACTGGTCACAGAGAGCAGAGTTGGGTTCCTGCCCCTCCACTTCCCCGTGTGAGGATGTCAAAGACCCCAATGAAGCCTCCCCTCAGCCTCCTCTTCTCCAGGCTGAACAAAGCAAGCGCTCCTCATAAGGCTTCCCCTCCAGACCCTTCACCATCCTCACCGCCTTCTCTGAAGAGACCTTAAAAGTCTCTTTCAATGCTGATAACTCGCTGACTGTTTAACACTTTCCCCTCAGCGCTCCTGAGGGAGGCGGAGCTGCCGCCTGCGCCTTTAAATACCCCGGCAGGCCCCACCCACCGCTGGCCCCGCCCCCCCTCCTCTGGCCCCGCCCCTTTGCCGCGCGGCTCTTCCGTGCCTGGCCCCGCCCGTTCCGGGCCCGTCCCTTTAAGGCCCCGAGGTGCGGCGGTGGCGGCGGTGCCGGTGAGAGGGGGTGGGGATCGCGAATTTGGGGGGGTTTCCTCTGGCTGGAGCAGCTCTCCGAGCAGCTCAGCCGAGCCACGTTGCCTGCGAGGCCTCCTGGCCGCGCTGGCGGGGCAGGGCCTGTCGCGGAGCGCTGTGGGGCCTTGGGGAAGGGGAGGCCTGAAAGCTCCCACTCCGCTTGAATTTGCTGTTTTATCCCGGTGGCTCCCGGTGCTCGGGGGGTGCTGCCGTGCCTAACTGTGGAGTTTAGCCCTGGGGGGGCAGGAGAGCCCCGCACTGACTCCCCCCGCCAGCCCTGTGGGCGCACAGCGGGGTCAGGGGTGATGAGAGCAGCCCCAGGTATCGCTGCTGGGTTTTCACCCCGTGTGCCCCCTGTATCCCTAAACTCCTCTTCGGGCGTGTTGCAACATCAAAGAAAGCGCCTTGCAAGTTGTGGTGAGGGAATCCACCTGCGTATGGAGAACTCACAGGTGTCGGTTGTGTTTAACGACATATATTTGAGTGGGAGAGGAAAAGGTCACTGGTCTTCGTCAGTGTTTAATGTTGGCTCAGGTCTTCCTGTGTTTAGCTATTGATTTTTGCCTCTGAGTCTTGCGAGAGTGGCACAGAAAGCTCTTCCTAATTAAAAAAAAAAAGGTAGTGGAGTATAATTACTGGCAGGGAAGAACTAACTCAGAAGTGATTACACTTGCTACAAGTCAGGCAGCTCTTTGATATGTCACTTATGGCTTGAGAAGCTCATTACCTTTCTTAGGTTTCATCAGCTCAGCTGATAATGAGATGCACAGCAGCAGATGACTCTGAACAAAAGCTCCAGGCTGTTCCCTGTTTGGGTGCTCTGTGGTCACCCATGGACCTGATGAACAGGTTAGCAGCCAAAACAGCTGCTGGAGTGTGAGTTACATTAATGACTTCCCCGTTTCTGTCATGTGTGAGAACTGGTGTGATTCAAAGCAATTTTGTGGGCTCTGGGATAAGGTCTCATCCTTATGGTGTTATGTCCATTTTTACTGCTGTCCTGAAGTCCCTTTCCCTGGCAATGAGTACATGCTCATCTCCCTCATATTGTTAAACCAGGCTGAGGTGGTGCAATATGTGGAGTTTGGAACTGTTCGTACCTGCCCTTTTCCAACAAAATTACCTGATTAAGCTGTCGGTCTGAAATGGGAAAATGTTGTTATTGATCAGGAACCAGTGATGTTTTTTATTTTGTTAAAACAGCACCTCTGCTTGCTTGTTGCCAGGCACTGGATGACCATAACTAAACAATGTCTGTCCCACGTGGAGCTGTCCATGCAAAATGGATAGTAGGGAAAGTAATAGGAACCAAAATGCAGAAAACTGCCAAAGTGAGAGTGACGAGGCTTGTGCTGGATCCCTACTTGCTGAAGGTAATAGCAGCTGGTTAACAACTTGTGGTTTTTGTACCGTGGGGAGGAATGTTCTGTTGATTTGACTCTTCGAATTTTTGATGACTCTGCAATGCAAACTCCTTAAGGAACTTGCATGAGGATTTGGCTGTGGGGTTGACTGCAAAGGATGAAAAGCACTGTGTGGTGAGGACTTACAAATTGTCTGCTAAATGTATTTCTTTGAAGTGCCTTGTTAGTGCAGCTCATTTGATCTCAGCTGAGAAGGTAAGTTTTTGTTGTTTCACACTTAGGTTCCATTTTTCATGTTGATGTGGATTATGCTTTGGAAACTTGACATTATGTTAGTCACTTTTACTGTAAGTTTTATTGCTGTTTTTCTGTATGCATAATTGTAACACTGCTTAGTGTTTGCATCTGTGCTGTGATGTGCTGTACGAGTTTGCATTTCTCCCTTGTCAATGCACTTCAAACAAGTAGGTTAAAATAATATTTTCTCAGTTTTTATATGGGGGAACTGTGGTACATGGAGGTGGAATAACTTGCCTTTGAGCAGAAGGTTAAGGATAGAGTCAGGATTGGATAATGGGTCTTGTGGAACCCATTTCAATAGTTTATCCAGCAGAAGAACCTGTTAATTTATTTCTTAAAAGATTCTAAATTCTGTTGTACCAGTAAGAACAAATATTAGATTTTTACGTGAAGGAAAACAAATTGAGCAAGAAACTTTGAAATCTAATGCCAGGGTTTCTTTTTTTTTTTTTTTTCTTCTTTTACAGTTCTTTAACAAAAGAAAAACCTATTTTGCCCACGATCCCCTGCAGCAGTGTGTTGTTGGAGACATTGTTCTGCTGAAAGCTCTGCCCGAGCGAAGGAGCAAACACGTGAAACACGAACTGGCTGAAATTGTGTTCAAGGTTGGAAATGTCATAGATCCAATCACAGGGAAACCCTGTGCAGGGACCAGATTCCTGGAGAATCTGTCAGATTCGGAAAACCTGACAGAGGCAGATACTACCTATCTAAGTGAAAAACTTCAGGAACTGAAAGTTTGTTCAACAGACAAATAGCGGGCGAAATATTCAAGCAAAGAGCTTCCAGCTTTGCCTCTCTCTGTCAGGGGTGTTTGAGGCCCTGCTGTGGTATGTTAAATGTTTCAGTGAAATCTGTAGTCAAAATAAATAGTAAATGTAGTTGCTTAGGTGAAGAGATGGTACAGATTGATGAGCACTCCAGAGCTTTGAATGAAAATGTAGAGGAAATGTAAGTTTAGTGTTAAACGCTTCATTTTATTGCCTGTAGTTTTGCCACAAGCAGTGACAATTCCCAAAGCCAGCTGCCCTCCTGGAACAACTCTTCTGTGTTGAGAAAGGAAAATACAACTGTATAACGTTTCATTTCGGTGGGAGGGCCATTATATTATTTGGTTGTTCTGTATTTCAGACAGTCTTTTGTGGTTTGTAGGATTACTGGAGATAATGCTATTAAAGCTTTTTGAAAGGAAGTGTAGAATTTTAAAACCAGCTCCATGCTTGTGTCCTTATTTCCACTTACAATCACTCATCCCACACTGCAGTGCCTTCTGACTTCCAAAATCTCTAACAAAAACAAAGCCCCTTGCCTTTATAGTGGCAGTAAGGTGAGAATAAAACCTTTGGGCAGCTCAGAATGGTTGGCTTGGTAACTTGTCCAAAGGGAGTATTTAGTTCTGGGAGAGCTGGATCTCTTTGAACTGCCAGCAGGACAGAGAGGCTGATGAGAATACAAAGCCAAAAAAGTAAAGATGGTTAGATTTAGTCCCATCAGAAAAGTGAATTAAAACAACACATTTTGGGGAGATACAGGTGCTGATTTGCTGCATGCTTTAATATGGAGCTGGAAGGCCATAGCAGTTAATGATGAAAGATCACTTTATCCTGATACAGCTCTGGGGATATTGTGTCCTGCCTTCCAGGACAAAAAGCAAGTTGAGATTGTGCAGCTGCTGCAGCAGCCTTGTGTTCCTGACTTCTCCTTTGGATCTAAAGGAGCACCTGCCTCAAAACCCAGCAGTTGTGGGAGAGGAGTGTAGGGTATGAAAGTTTTGAGAAAGCTTTTTGAAGTGTCTGCCTCTGTCATTTGTTTTTGTTTAAGATCAGAAGCTGAACAAGGTGTAACTGAGCAGAGTTCTCTGACCTAAAATAATTTCCTTAAAGAAACTGAGCCATCTTGTACTAGTAGCTACCAGTTGTGTTCTCTTTCACTGTGTAAATCATTTGCCCTTTAGCTTCCTGCACCTGCACAAAATCAGTTTTGTCCGCCCACAAACCACTAAAAAAAAGTCTGATTTTACTCAGAAAATTATTTGGGACAGGAAGAATGAAAAACATAAAATTCCTTCAGTGCTCCAAACAAAAAAAATGCTGCTCTTTGAATGCTTGTCCTCCCGTGCCATCCTGTGTGTCAGGTCAGTGGGATGGGATTGCAAGACACCTTAATTGAAATATCTTGGTGTAACGTAATGTGACCACGGTCCCTGAGTTTGAGGAGGTGCCTTAAGCAGGTGGCTGTAGGTTATTCTTGGTGATGTTTGCTGCAGAGGTTTAGGTTTATGTAAATGACTCAGTAACTGTAGCTGGTTGATGGAGGCCCTCAGCCAAGGGGAGGAAACCTGGGCTTTGACTCCTGTCCAGGTGAATGTAAAACGTGAAACTTCATCCCAGCAGAGATTGAGAGATATCAGACCCAGGTCAGAACATGGCCCTGGGCTGTAGCAAATACACTGAAGTTGTGTCTAAGAAGGGAGTAAAGAAACTTGACCCTCAGTACATGGGATATGAGTGTTCTAATAACTAGACATAATATTTATAAGAAATAGGAAGAGTTTCCTGTTTGGTTGTAGTTGCATCTACATCTAATTAGGGAAGTAAATAATTTATCTCCTGTGATTTCTCTTGAGTAGCTGTGAAAATGCCAGATTTTTTTCTTAGATTGATTATTCACAGAAGGTTATCAGTTTTTCCAGTGTACAGGTGGGTTCTGGGAGGGTTGCTCAAGAACTCAACATGCTGTCGGATCAAAATGTGACTAAAAACAAATTACATTTCAGACTTATTTAATAGAGTGATGGCGATTGTAGGTTAAACTCTTTTGAAGAGGCACCACAGCAATTGTACTTCAGTGATGTTAAAGCACATCTTAGGTGTTATCTTTGGGATTACTCTCACAAGAGTGCTGATAGAGGAAATCATAAAATGGCAAGGGAAAGTGCAGCGATGTGACAGAAATGTTATGGGTGCTATGTGGAAAGATAAGGATTACTCATCGACTTTTTTATGTTTAATGGCTTGTTGCTTTTAGAACTGCCCTTTAAGTATTAGCCTAGTTATCAGTTTATCCTTAATTTCAAGTTACTTAAGGATTCGATGCCATCACATGCCACCCATTCAACCAAATTATCCCTGACTGTGGCTGAACAGAGTATGAAGAAAACCCTTCAACTGCACGCTGGGAGAAAACATCACAGGAGAATGAGGAACAAGATTTTGCACATGATTCAAAAAACGCCTGGGCTCGCTCTTAGTGGTTATGAGGTGAGACCTTAAAGAGTGGTCACCCCTAAATGGGGGCCAGGGGTCATGCCCACAATGCAGGATGAGGGGTAACCCCCAAACTGGGGCTGGATAACCCCCCCAACTGGGGCCGGATAACCCCCCAAACCGGGGCCGGCGCTCATCCCGAAGCTGTGACTGGGTAACCCCCCAAAATCGGGGCTGGGGTCACCTCAACAGGGCGTTGGGAGGCCCTCCCTACCACACACACACAACTAGTCTGGATCCCCCCCTAAACAAACAGAGGCCTAGGATTCCCCAAAACAGGGGCCTTGGGTTTCCCTCGACCCAGGAGGGGACCCTCAAAGCCGGGCTGGGCACCCCAAACTAATCTGGAACTCCCTCCCAAACCCCAGTGCGGGTTCCCCCGGGGCTGAGGGGCCGTGAGGGGTCCCCGCGGCGGGGCAGCCGCGCATGCGCACAGGCGCGTCCCTGCCAGGGGGCGTGGCCGCAGCCCCCGGCCCAGCAGGGAGGCGGCCGGAGCAAGATGGCGGCGCGAGTGCTGCTGCGGCGGAGCCTGGCGGGAGCGGCCACCGTGCCGCGCCTGCCGCCCGGCGGCGGGCTGGCCCTCAGGTGAGCCCCGAGGGGGCGAGCGGGCGGGACGGGGCCGCCGCAGGAGGCTGGGCGGGGGAGCCGGGGCCGCCCGCGCGGAGCTCCCCACCCCCCTTCCCCGGCGCGCCGCTCCCCTTCCCCGGCTGGAAATGGCGCCCCGGTCGTGGGGCAGCGGCCGGGCCTGGGGCGGGGAGTGCGGCTCGGCGGGGTGTCCCTCAAGGTCACGGGCCGCAAGGCCGGCCCCTTCCTTCCCTCCCCCGAGTCCGCCCCTGGGTGGGATGATGGCCGCGCCGCTGACCCGCCGGGGACGGGGCGCCCGCCGCCCACGGTGCCCTGGCTCAGGATGCACCGGCACCCCTCCGCTGCACGGACACCTCACCCCTTCACCGACACCTCACCCTTGCACGGGCACTTAAGCCTGGCACTGACACCTCACCGCTGCACCGACCCCCCTGCCCTGCATGGACACCCTTCCCCTGCACTGACAGCTCACCCCTGCACTGACACCCCACCCATGAACTGCCGTCCATCCCTTCGCTGCACCGACCCTTTCCCCTGCTTGGACACTCCTCCCCTGCACACAGCAGGCAGCACACGCACCCCACCATCCCGTACCTCCGTGTTTCGGGGTGCTCAGCCGCCCTGCACTCGTGTATTCCTGGGGCTGAAGCGTCTGGATGCTCCGCACCCCTCCGGAATTGGGTTGTGTAGCTGCTCCGTGTCCCAACTGCTCCGAGCAACAGGGTGCACAGCCAGCAGCATCTCCTGTCGGGAGGCACAGCTGCTGCACCCCTGCCCAACATCCACGTTTTCCCGGTGTTGGGGTGCAGGACTGTGCACCTCAGCATCTTCCTGCCTTGGTGCACAGCCACACACGCACCCTGCTCGTGTGTGTGCCCCCCCTTTGGGAGCCAGGGCACGTGTATCCATGCTTCCCTTGGGAGATGGGATGTGTGTACAACCCCCCGGTGTCAGGGCACACACCCAGGCACATCCCTCAGGTTTTGGGGTGCAGAGATTTGCGTGGCCACATCTGATGTGTGCAGGGTCAGGCACAAAGTGCAGATGCACACACAGAGCTCCTGGGGCACCAGGGTGTAGGAAGCTCCCAGGATGTGCTCCCAGGATGCTGGAGACACAGAAGTGCCTGAATTCCCAAGCTGGGATGGATCTACACGTTTTTTCCTCCCTTTCTTTGAAACAGGGAAAGCTGCTGCCTCAGAATGGGCAAATATTTGCATATGGAAGACCACAAGCATCCCTGCAAGCAGCTGCTTAACACAGGAACAGGGAGGGCTCTAGGAAGTAAATGTTGTGAGGTTTTATGTGGATGTTTTGGGGTTATTTCAGTTTCAAATAAACTTTGTTTAGATCAAGAACTGCCAAACTGAGGACAGGTTGTTTTCTTTCTCCTCCAGGCAGATATGGGTTACTACAAAATGTAAATACTTGACCCGATATCTCCCACCCAGGTTATATTTTGTGCTGAAGCAGAAGCTAAGTGGGATAGAAGTGTTTCCACTGACATTTTTAATCTAATCTAAGCAAACTATTCAGTGTTATCCTTTTCTGTTCACAGCCCAATCTTTGTAGCAATGAAAGAAGCTAAGCTCATAGTTAATATTTGTAGGATAAGAACCACCAGAGTCAAGCTGATGCTCACAACTGACAGTCCAAAGACATGAATTCAGTCCCTTCTCTTCCAGAGCTAATTTTGGGTATATTCTGCCCACACAAGTGAACCAGTAATCAGGGCTTCTTGATTTCTGAGTGTCTGGAATGGCAAGGGTATTTTAGGGCTTCTCTGAGGATATTGATTAAAAATCAGGCCCTTGCATCTCAGGGTGGGTGCAGTGAATATCTGCTTTAATAAACTTAGCTCCTGCCTTTATTCTAACTAAGGTATATATTTAGGTGGATAGTTGTGATTTGTTAGTCAATGCTCATGAGGAACTTTACAGTTGCTGGGTGAAAGATTTTACATAAATGTAAAGTATTACTCATTTCATTGTATTACAATTAACTATCCCTCCAGTTTTAGGTGCAGTTTAACATTCAAGTCATGAGATTCTCCTAATAGCAAAGGAATTTGCTTTTTGCTTTTTAGTGTTATCCCTGTAACTCCAGCTTACTCTTACTGAGGATAAAACTGGTTCACAGGAAAAGCATTGTGATTATTTATCTCTTCAAGTTTGCTGCAAACAATAATCCTCATAGAAGAGGATTATTAGTCTGCTAATTCTCTTTAATAAAGGTGAGGAAATGATGATGGTTTAGAGGTCTGAGCTGAAAATTGAGTGTTGCAGGACTGGGATTGAGTTCTGTCTCTGGTGTCCACTGAGCATTTAGTGCTTACTTTGAGGGAGCTTTTTAAAACCACTCAGATTTATTAGGTGGGTTTCCCCCCCACTCCTCTGGGACAGCTTGTGTTGCTGTGGCACTTGATGTGACAACACAACTGCAGTCACCTGCGCCTCGCCTGCTCCGGCTGAGATCAGAGATAGCTCCACTCCAGCAACAGCCTTATCATGGAATGCCCTTCAAATGCCTGCACTCAGGAATAGCTGCTTGGCTTTCAGCACAGCCTCATGTTTGTGTGTTTGCCCAGGGCCAGGGAAGGCACCATTTTCGATAAATAACCAATAAGGTGTTTACAGACTCCTCCTTTAACGCTGAAGGTCATCTCAGCTGCAGTTGTTCTTCTCTGGTGGTTGTTTCTCTGCTGTGGAACACTTTTCCTTTCCTCCATCCTGCTTCCACGGGGTGAACCAGTTCACTGGGTTATTTTCAGACACTGGGATTAAAAGGTTGATTGTTGTAAAACACCGCTAGTGTGAACTATTTTTGTGCAATGCAGACAGGCGTGTCCATGAGGATATTCTTCCCAAAGGAAACTGAGATTTTTCTTCCCTATTTTTTTTTTCTTTTCAATTTGAGTGATTGTCACAAACCTTTGATATGTGGAAGACAGCTTTGAGCTGGAGGTTGATAGCTGTCTTCTGGCTCTCCTGATCAGTAATTAAGGGTGAAAAGTTGGCATCTGAGGCGGGAAAAGGTTTACATTTCCAGCTTATAAATAAATATATGTGGTATAAATACCACATTTTTAGTTTGTCAGAGAAATATTTTGGTGTTTCAGGAGAAGGTTGAGTTGGAATTAGATTTCCCCACAGTGGCTGGTGTGGGGCTATCAAAGAAAGGTAAATTGAAGGAAGTGATTTTATGAGATGGAAGAAAAGAACATTTGAGCTTGGGGTCCCCCCCGTCAGACATTGTAGAGAATCAGTTAAATATATCAGATTTCTTGTCCTTCTGCACAGTTTTTGGTGATTGAGGGCTCTTGAGCTGAAAAAGAGAAGAATAATTCCTTCAGCACATCATCTCAAAAAATTACAGTTATCAGTTGTTTTGTGTGCTCTACCATGTAAAGGGAGCTGATATTATTTTGAAAAAGTACTTGCAGAAACTGAATAAAGATTAGACAAAAAAAGACAGTGAAATTCTTCTGTTTCAAAGAAAGGGAAATGTGAATGTTGTGCAGAGAGCGTGGATCTGGTACCTCTACGTGGTGCAGCTGCCAGAATTTGGAACTGAAGCATTTGCAGGCTGTTTGTTTCCTGCCACTTGTTGTTTTTTTTTTTCCTCCCAAATTAGACTTTCATGCTATTTTTTTTTTTTTTTTTTGTTACTCCTGAAAGACGTGCCATTTAACTTTTCCTTTTGTTGAGCTGTATTTAAGCAACACAGGAACATATGGCAGTTTCCTTCCTATTTACACTGTACACAGTTTTCCTTATGCCTGTTTTTCTTTTTGCTCTTTTTCACTCCTGTCTGTCTCCATCACGGCAGGCCCAGCCCTGAGCTAAGAAAGGATTAAAAAGGAGATAATAAAGAGAGAGAATAAACATGGATAATGTGTGGTTAACTGTAGCTGGTGAAATGGGTTGGGAGAGGGTAACTCTGAGTGGGGAATGAACAGCCTTTGCCTTGCTAGGAAAAAAAAAAAAAAAGTGGGCATTTTTAGTAACAGATACATGTTATGGTCCTGTTTGTATTGAACTTGAATGTGCCTGTGTTCCCTTTGTGGTGGGAGTTTCCTTGGTGCCAGTAAAACCTCCTTGTTGCTGTGCAGGGGACTGGGATCCTCAGCTCACAGACCCCGGGAGGACAGCTGGTTAAAATCCCTCTTCGTCCGCAAAGTGGATCCGAGGAAAGATGCCCACTCCAACCTTTTGGCCAAAAGAGAGACCAGCAGTCTGTACAAACTCCAGTGTGAGTGGTGGTTTTGTATTTGATGTTGCCAGTTCTTTATTCTGGTCCCCCCACGTCTCACGTCCTGTTGTTGTTGCAGTTCACAATGTAAAACCAGAATGTCTAGAGGCCTACAACAAGCTTTGGTAAGTGTGTGTGTTATGTTTGCACGTTTTAGACATGTTGATTTGATCACAAGCTGGTCTGAAAATTGGTTGATATTCTAGTTATTTAGAGGGGAGGTGGCAAAACTCTGCTTTTTTAGGATTTGGTATCAAAAAGATCATATGATTCTTGGAAAGAGATGGCAAAAGCTCCTTTGCTCAGTTCACCCCTCCCTTCCCTTATGGAGGTGTTTTCCTAAGCTGCAATTCAGGATGATGCCTGTTGGGAGAACTTGGGTGACATTTGTGGGAACAGCTCTTCCCCCTTCCCTTAATGATCCTAAAATTACTGATCCGTGCAGCTGGAATGTTATAACATGTCCCACTGCAGCTGCCGGGCAGGAACATCTTGAGGATGATTATTGTCTGCATACAGGGAGGAAAGGGAGAGATCACCTGTAAGTAAAACTGCACACCAGGGTTAAAGTGAAGTACAATTTTGAGGAGATGTTGAAACCCACAGGCTTGATTTTTTTTTCTCAGCTCATTGATATCCTTTTCCACAAGTCCCGTTACTGAGATCTGCTCCTAAAGAGTTACACAAACCCTTGGGTAGAGTGTTTACATGGGGGTGATTCCTTCCAAAGGGAGGGTTAGTGTTACAGTTTTTCCAAAAAGTTACAGCTTTATAAACATATTAATTAATCACGTTTTTAACTTACTGCTTTAAGGATGAAACCGCAGAAATATTAGTCCTCTTCTGCCTGCATAATCACCCCTCTGGAGCCAGAACAGCTGCCTTTAAAGAACTGAATGTTTAAATTTGGAATTGTAGCGAGCCTCACACTCTGCAGTGCTTTCTCACCCACAGTGGCCAACCTGTCAGTTAAATAAAACATTCCCAGCATAATGATACCCCACTGCAACCAATTTTTTAACTGTGCTGGTGAGCACCAGCTGGGCTGGAGGGAGGGGAAGAAGTTCACAACTCCCAGTTCATGTCCCCCACTGTTACTGGTTGGCTGCACAGCCTTGAGTGGCTCATCTATCACCTTCATCTGTTCAGCTTTGAAATGGGGCTGGATAACTCAGAACTGTTTTCCAGAATCCACTAGAATAATACTCAATCAAGGTATTTTTAGCTTTTTTGTTGTTGTTGTTTAACATAAATACACACCCAGGGAAGGACAATTAGCATTCAACCAGCTTTCTGTTTAAAAGCTCAATATAAACACGTCCAATTATACAAGACAGGGAACCACTTCTCTGCATTATTTCATGAGCTGCCTAAATGTTGAGTGAAAGCAGAGGTTTCTATTTGCAAGGAAAGAGACAATAGCAAAGAAAGAAGCTGCTGACAGCATGTAGATGAAATCGTGGTTAGATTTATTCTTTCCAAAGCAAATTTTAAGTATTCCAGGGAAGGAGAAAACTTGAAAGGAGTAATAGACAAAAACTAAACCTCTCTGAGCTTCCCTCCTTCCTCTGCCTAAATAAAAGATGAACAGGTTAATTCTGTATCAAATCAGACTAAGGATTAGTCATCATGTACTAATAAAAAAACAATGTAATGAGGACAATTACAAGAGCACTTTGTGAATCACTGTGGTTAAGGACCCTTTCTACAGAATTAGGGACAGTTATCTCTGAAAAGGAAAAAAGACAGTGTTCCTAATGATATTTTAAGGGCATTTTTTTCTATAATTTGCAACAATACATTATAGGGTTATGTAATAATTTATCATCCCTGTTTAAAACTGCCTTTCTAGGATCTCATGCTGCTCTGAAAAAAATGAACTGATGGTCAAACATCCTTGAAAATGTCCTTGTAGAGACATTTTATCATATTATTTACACTGGGTAGTGAGAAATGTAGAAGTACAAATTGGTAATGAGATTTGCTCAAGGTTGTCTGCAAAGTCAGTGGCAGAATCAAGAGGAAAACTCATATCTAATGACTCCCAGCCCCAGACCAGCCTACTTTTTATTATTTGATACTGTGCAGAGACTCGTTGCTTATGAGCCAAACCGAGTAAGAAGGGTAATAATTCAGGGAAAAAAATAAAAGGCAAAGTTGAACCAGACTAATTGACTGACTCATCAAAGCACAGTGCAGTGAAGGCTGTCTTGGCTAAGTCAGCAATCAGTAAAACTTAATTTCCTTATGCTAATGTAGGCCTCTTCTAAAGTTTGAAAAAATGTTAGAAATACTGGAAATAGTCAGAACAGAAATGTGTTGGAGGTATTTTTAAGGCAGTTTCACTGCATTCATTGGTGGGTAAGTTGCCTCAAACTAAGACCACTTTCTGAAACGGTAGAAACCAGTAAGGCTGTGAGTAACAGTCATTACATCTATCAAAATACTCATTTTTATTCAGTCAGCCCAGCAATTGATAGCACTGCACAGAAGACTCTGCTTACCTAATTTTGTGTATTCTCCCTCCCTTGAAAAAGAAAAGCTTTTCCTCAAGCAAATCACCCGTGTAGTTAGGCTGCATTTATTTTCTGTAAGTGAGACACCCCGATATTTGTTTTCCTAATGTGTTGTTTAACCTTTTTAGGTGCTAGACATAATTTATTGCATCGAAAGAATCCTCCCATGCTTTGTATTTGCCCTGCAGTCTGATGGTAACAACAGACCTTAATTTTCCACGCTGCTGTAGCAACCTTTCCCCCTGTGTAGCAGATTTCAGCTTTCCCCTCTGAAACTTGTAGAGCTTGTGAATTTTCATAGCATAATGCTGTGTGGTGATTTGTTATACATATCAACTGTAGCCTCCCTGAAGGCAATGCAACCCAGTGTCTGTATTCCTTGTTTTCAAGTCAAGAGGTGCTGCCAAAGATTCATGAAGAAAAACACTACCCATGTGCACTGGTGGGGACTTGGAACACGTGGTACGGAGAGCAAGATCAGGCTGGTAGGAGCTAGAAGTACAACAGAATGTAAACCCATGCAAGTGAAACGTGTGCTTGGCAGGTTTCTTCTCTTTAAATCATCTCTGTTGACAGTAAAAACCTGTGGCAATGTGTTCAGCGAGGGGGTGGCGCATCAGTCACCGGCCGTGGTAACGCTCGCGGTGCTTGCTTTTTGTCGTGCTGAGTTTTGACGGTAAAGCTTTAATCCCTAAAGTTTGTCCTGTTGTTAATGCACTTTCATGTTTTGCAGGCGGTAGATTAAGGGGTTTTTGGGTGGGGGGGGAAATGCTTGTCAAATGTGGTCCTTCTCGTGGGCACGGATGGTGTTGCTGAATATTTAGGGTAAAGGCAAAGGCTTGCAGAGCCGGAGTTCATTTACCCCTCAAGCTTTACTCAGGCTCTCGTGCTGTAATTGCTGTATGATAATGAAATGCGAGTCATTCAAACCATCTGAAAAAAAAAATCACTGCATTGTAAACTTAACAATAAACTCGGGCTTTACTGGGGAAAATTAAAAGTATTTCTGTTCATGTTCATACAAGGGTACTGCCTAACTGTGCAGATTGAAAACATTGGAACTAGAAATGACTGAAGAGCTGCTGCAGAGGTAACTCCAAAAAGTCTAGTGCAGAGAGAAAACTTGAAAAATGTCCTAGACCCTGGGAAACTGAAGGAGTGGGAAGCCACAAATACAGATTATGTAGAGGTTGTGTAGCTCTGTAGTTAGAGCTACACAAGGATCGGTGTCAGTGCTTTGTAATTGGAAAATTAACTCATGCACACGTTAATTTTCCCTGCATTCACAGCATATTGCAATATTGGCACTGAAAAAAAAGGCAAAGAAATGACAGCAGAGAAATAACAGCAGATAAAGCAAACAGTGTCTGAGAGCTGAAGGGGAATTGGGGAATGAAGACAATTGAATTGGGGATTTCTCAGTGGCTGCTTTTGTAACATATTAACACAGACTGTATCTGTAATTGCATCCAAAGCCTGCCCTGGCAATGTTATTGCAGCAGTTCTAGCAGTGTAATAAAGCAGATTATGGGGTGTGACTTGTTCAGTACCTGTGCCCAGGCTGTGTTAGTAGCAGGTGGATCCATCAAATTTGCCCTGGGGGTGAGGCAGCAGGAGCACTGGGTGAATCTGCTGTCACAGGGAAGAGTCCCCTGTGCTCTCCTGGAAAAGGCACAGAAGTGCTTTAGAGGAGAGAAAATAGCTCTTGTGATTCTGTGAGGTGAAATTACTGCCTCTCTCTGTTAAGTGCTTGTAAATAAATCCTTTTGTGATTTATTAAAGGGATTTATTCTGGTTTATTAAGGACAGGATGCCCTGAAAAAAAACCAGGGTAGATACATGCTCTGAAATTGGTTTTATGGGGAAAATCCCAGCAAATGTAACAGTTCTAATATGTTCAGATATCTTCTGCTTTTATTAATGTTTACCTCAAAAATAACATTTGCATCGTTTTTCGTGTCCTGCAGAAAGTGTGTTGCTTTTGTGCTGGAGTAATTTACTGAACTGAAAAGTCTGCCCCTCTACTGCTCTTAGATGAAATTGGTATAAAGCACGTTTTTGGAATTAAATCATCCTCTTAAACTGAATCTTAATTTCAATAACAGTCGTGTCAAGTCATCACATCTTACTAGCATGGCAACAAAAAGCCCTTTCAGAAATTTCCCTGTTATCTTCAGAGTAAATTGCAAAATTTTCCAAGAGAACCCTTTTCAAAAAGCAGATGATTCCACTCTTCTTAAAATATTCCAATGTGCAGTACTTTCATTAATGAAAATCTATTTTTAAGCCTGCTACCTGACTCCTGTTTTTGTGTAATTCTCTAGTATGAAGAGCATTTTATACTGTGATTTTTCCATGAGGTTTAGCACTGGTCTGTGACATCCCTGAAGACGGTTCCTTTTTTCTGTTTCAGTTCATTTGTGGAGATATGAAGGAGGTTATCCAGCTCTCAATGAGGTCATGAGTAAACTTCGTCAAAATAAGGTAAAAAGCACTGATTTTGTTACAATGGATTATTTTACTCAGAACAAAGTACAGAACAAAAAAAACCTGCAGATTTGGGTACCAGCTTCTACTTCAGTGTCTCACCATTTCCTGTGCAAGTTCAGAAACCTCTTTGGAAAAGGATTTTTTTTTTTCATATTCAGAAATACTGAGGTTCATTGCCTGAATGGAACCTTTATGGAACACACTTATTGCTGTGCCAACACTTGGATCAGCTATGCCGGGGGAATTTCACTGTCCTAAAACCCTGTGACAGCGTTAAAAAAAAAAAAAAATCTACCCCACCCTATGCTGTACTGCTTTTTGTTGCTGAGGAATAACCCCCAGTCTGACAGGGGTGACGTGGTTGTTTTTTAGGAATTCACAGAGTTTCGCAAAGAACGGGGTAACATGCTCCTCTCACGCAAGAACCAGTTATTGCTGGAGTTCAGTTTCTGGAATGAACCCGTTCCCAGAGAAGGGCCTAATATTTATGAATTGAGATCCTATCAACTCAGAGTAAGTTTAGATTTTGATTTTTTTTTTTTTTTTAAGCTCTCTGCTGTTGTAAAGACGTTCAAAGGGTGTTTGTACGATGCGGATGGAAAACAGACCCCGTCTTAAAAATTCTGGATCTTATCAAAGATGGTGTCTGAGTCACTGCTGCTCTCAAAGTGTGGGGTCCAAAGTGAGGGCAGGTTCCAACAAGGTACTGGTGTCTGCAGGGCTGCAAACCCTGTGGTTTGTTTGGATACTTCAGGCAGATGACTAAGAGGGAATACAGGCAGTAAACAGAGTAATTACAGATTATTCTAACACGCTTATCACTGGAAGGAAGGGATCTCGTTAATGCAGAGTGTTTTCCGTATATAAATGTTGTGAAAGCTGTCAGAGTGTCCTGGCTTTTCTTGAAAGTGCAGTTTTAACTTTCTGTTTTGTTTTTGTAGCCCGGAACGATGATTGAGTGGGGGAATTACTGGTGAGTGTTGCCTTAGCACTTGAATTCTCCTGTTTGAGAGATGTGTGTTTAAAATCCACGGACTGGAGGTGGCAGGATGGTACCAAAACCAGTCCCCCAGTTAATGACCTGCTGCTCTACTTGCTCAACTTGTAAGACAGTTCTTCGGCCCTTAATTTATCCTTTGAGGAAAGAAAGAGGAATTTTGTGTACAAACAACACTGTGGGCTCTCTGCTTTGGCTTTCCTTCACAGAACCCTTTTATTTTGCTGCAATATAGCAAAAACCATTGATTTTCAGCAGAAAGCACTTCTTGGGGAAGTGTGGCAGTTAACAAAGTTCATCTTAGACTGAGTTCATCTTTCACAAGACCTTTTTCAGTTTAAATGGGCTAAATCTTGACTCTTAATCTTTAAAAGTCAAGTTGCTTCTTGGAAAGCTAAATTTCCATTTTAATTGATAGGTTAAGAGCATTTGAGATATTTTTCTGTTGGTTATATGCTTCTGATTTTGTCTTACGTAAAACCAGTGTAAGTTTCTTTTAATTTCTATTCACTCTCCTTGCTATTCTAGGGGTTGATAGTTAAACAGTTTGAGCATTTTCAATTATTTTGACAAAGGTGAGGACTTCAGATGTGTCATGGTCATTGATATAGTTTTTTCAATTACAGTAATTTGAACAAACTGAATTGAGAATATAAAATGTATGTATCTATACTGGTAGCCAGTCTGTTTTATAAGATGCAACAGATTTATAATTAAGTACTGATCTTATTTATACAACACTTGTTTGGACAGAGGTCTGTGGAAAAAAAAGTTGTGTTCCACCCTGTGGAAATTCCAGTCTGTGGAAAATGAATGGCAAAAATTATATGATTGGAAGTCAAGGATTTAGCTTTAGAGGAACCTGCTATAAAGAGGCAACTTTACAGTGCTCCAGCAATTATCTTTATACCGAATCTGCTGGTGAAAAATGATTAATGCACAGTCTAGTGAAACTAAACCTCCAATTTTAATGCATTCTAACAAGCTATGTAGATATATATCTTCATTAATTAGTGCCAAAAATCAGTGCATTGCAGACTTTTTATTATTTTTAATTGCTGAGTTGGACTGCGAATGCTGTTCAACATTTCAGCTTCCTTTCAACTCTTGTTTTCGTTTCAGTTATCACTTATTTCCTCCCCAGCCCTGCTGGTTCTCATTCCTGCTTTGCTCCCCTCCAGGGCTCGTGCAATTCGTTTCCGACAGGACAATAACGAAGCAGTTGGAGGATTTTTCTCACAGATTGGACAGCTCTATATGGTTCATCACCTTTGGGGTAAATTCACCTGCTTGGCTTTTTTCTCACTGAGTCAGCCCCCCCCCAGACTGGGGACTTTGCCCAGGAGATTTTACAAAAGGGAAAGAAATATCTCAGAAGGGGTTATTTTGTTTTGTTTCGCATCAACGCTGTTGATTTTCTTAATTTCTGTGTAGGTAACTTTATTCCTTAACAAGCAAGCAGAAGTGAACATTTCCTGGTTTGTTCTGTTTCCATCAACAGTTTCTCGTGTCCCTCTCTTGTTAGGAACTACCCGTTTGCTCTCGGTACCATAACCATGACACACCACGTCCTGCCATCCCCATTCATGCTGAAATCAGGTTTTTACAGTTTCATTTCAAGCATCACATATACCACACCTGCAGAAAGGAAAGTCAAGCATTTATTTACGTTCCTGCATCCAGGGGTTTTGGCTTTCTCTGTGCATCAACCTCCAAAAATACCCAGCTGTTTTTCACATGTTAGCACTGTTTCAACTTGAAGAAACTCAGTCTAATACTGATGTTAGAAAACATGCAGATTTCATATCTGGCAGTTCAGAATATCATATTCATATAATGGCCTTCATATCTGACAATTCAGAATATTATATTCCAGCATTATAAATCTGACTCCACTCCTGTAGAACTGCACTCTTGCATTGTTTGTCTTACCTGTGTCCAAGACATTCTCTCTCTTCCCCAGTTCCTTCTGTTTGCCTTGGTTTGGGAGCTTTTCCTTCTCATGGAGAGCAACTGACCTTTCCTTCCCAGTGTTTGCAGCCTCCTAATTATTCCCTAGAACACTTTTTAGAGGAGCTATTCTTGTGCAGAAGGAAAAAGGAGTTACCTCTAAGCTTCGTGCTTGTCTTCCCTCCCCAGCTTACAAAGACCTTCAGACCAGAGAAGACATAAGGAATGCTGCATGGCATAAACCTGGCTGGGATGAACTAGTCTACTACACAGGTAACCTATTAACTTTGCTGGAATGCTGGGGGCAGACTTTGGTGTGTGCCATCATTTTCTGTTCCTCAGCACATCCCACAGTGGTAAAAAGTTTTGCATCTCAGTGGGGAGTGTGTGTGAGTCAGTTTTTCTGCTCTAAGGGAAAGGAGGGACACGGCATGAAACTGCCAAGGGAATTTCGCTGTTGATTTTACAGTGCTAAAAAATCACCCCTCTAGAACAGGTTCGTGTAAATGCTTGTGCCCAAAAATTTAGGGAGACAGAAGTGAAATTTGTCTTTATGTTAAATGATTACCTCTAAGATTTCATGAAATGCGAGAGCCTTGTTAAATGCATTCCTTGGAAAAGGGAATTTAGACTTTGGAACCAGAAGCCAGGAGATCTTTGAGATCAAAGAAAGCTTTCAAAACAAAACTCACAAAAGCATGCCAAGCATGTCAGGTTTGGGTTCCATACAGTGCATTTCAAAGGAAGTATACCAGAAAAAAAATGTAAGATAACTTTCCCTTGTGGTGAAAAGGAACAGAAATATTTGTCTTCAAAGGAGCAGAGAGATTGTATTAAAATCATTTGTTCTCTAAACTGTTGTGCTTCAGTTTACAGGGATGTTGGTGTTACTGATGACTTGGCGGGGGGAGTAGTTTGAAGACAATAAAAGCTGTTCAAACTGAGTGTGCTTATGATCTCTGTTAGACAAATGAAACCCTCTCTCTTTTTTTTCTTTTTTTTTTTCCTTTCAGTGCCCCTTATTCAGGAAATGGAATCCAGAATCATGATCCCATTGAAGATTTCTCCACTTCAGTAAAGTCACTGATTTACTTGTGCCTACATAGATAAAGTGACAAGTATTTGTCTTAATTTATGGTATACACTGTATATCATAGTCTGAAATATAAAAGTACTGTATTGAGCTTATAAAAGAGACCTCTTTTCTTCAGAACCCATGACCTTTTGCTCTTAGGATTGTTCCAGGGGGGAGAAAATACACAGGACCGTAATTAAAAGGTCGGTTAGTTGAAAACAAGTCCAAAGACAGGAGTTCTTTGTGAGACAGCTCCCCAGGTGAGGTATGGCCTACAGTATTTAATATCTCCTGCTACACAGGCACTGCCCAGTGTTCAGTAACAGCAGCAGAACGGAGCATTGCCATTGCTGTGGCCTTTTTGTAGCATTTTAATGACTGCAGGTTTTAAAAACAAGTGTGGGAGTTGTGAAATCAGAAGCTCTGAAGCCCTTGGGGAGCTCGGAACTGCACCTGGCTGTTGGAGCAGGCCTGAAATCAGTCAGTAGCTCTGGATTTGCATACAGGCAGTCATTAATTGGGGATAATGCTGTGTCAGGTGATGGCTTATGGACAGAGAATAGGGAATTTTGGTTGGCAAGGGCTCTGAAACCTGTCGAAACTCGTCGCACAAAGTGAATTCTGTGAAGTGTTACCCACGGTTTTCAAAGAAATACTGCCAAGACGTGGTTGTCTGAACACTCTGCAGGGAATCAATTCAGCTCAATACATTTCTCTCTACAAAACAGCTCAGAACTCTGGGAAAAGGGGTTTAATTTAATAAGCAGTTGTGACTCCAGACATATGCTTGGTCGGGTGTTTCACTCCCTGTCCAGTAGGTACTCCCGAATTGGTGTGTGAAACTGGCGCATGTCGAGTCGATGGAATTGGCATTTCGGTGTCCCATGATGTCCAGTTCTGTTTTGGCTTCACTTTTAGTCTAGAATGTATCAACACTTTTGGTGTCTGCAATGATGTGAACATCCTGTCAGTGAAAATAATATTCTCTCTTTCAAGTGGCTACAAGAATCAGTGTAACATAACTGAATGTACAAATCAGTTACTGAATGTCCAGTTTGTACATTTCAATAAGTTTTCAGGAAGAACATATCAGTCAATAAAATCCTTTTAATTTTCACATTTTGCTGGCACCTCATATGTATTGCACCACCTGTGTTTTCTCTCCGCTTGCAGTGTTTATTATGAAAAATACGAATAATTGCACAGAATATTTCAGCCCAGCCAGTGTCACTTCTCAGGGTCAGGGGCAGCATTTCCCAGTATTCTGCTCTCCTTCTCCAGAGTGATTTACAATCTCTCCATCACATCTCATTTTGCTGAGTGTTCTAGAGGTCGTGAGTGCTGTGGTGATAAATAGAAGATGCTTTGCCTTTTGATTTTTCTCCACAAATTGTGCTTCATTTTTCATGTCTGTTTTTTTCTCTTCTGCTCACATGAAATGCACTGCACTCGTGCCTTCACTTGAATTCCATCTTGAACAAAGTCATTATTTGATCTGGTTCTTCGTGTTTTCCTCCTGTTGTCAACTGATACGGGATTTTACTGAGTAACATTCTGTATTACATCAGCTTAAATTCTCAGCTTGGCTTGCTCAGTGGGCCAAGGAAAATCATTTGAGCTGATCCTTCTTGTCCCACCTGCAACCAGGAGCACCAGGAATTAAATTCTGTCTGGCAGAGCTCTTGTTCAAGGACCATGAAGTTTTGCATGAGTGAGAAATCAGAGGAATAACTGGATGTTCTGTGGGGTGACATCACACAGCACAGGTCTCTTACCCACCCCCCAGGATCTGAATTCCCACCAGTGGTGCTGGAATGTGTTGTGGATGTGCGTCCTGTTCTGAGCTTCATGCTCATGCTCTGGCTGCCATCAGAGACAGATGAATTCCTGTAATTTTACTTACAGATAACTGAGTAAACTTGCTGAACGTGATGCAATAGATAAGTAATGCCAATCTTTCCTTGCTTTCCTGTGCCTGAGCCTTTCCTGAGATTGGTTTTCCCCTGTTGTCTGAATACTGTTTTGATTTTCCCTCTTCATTCAGAGCCCAGTCTGCCTTTTTCCATTGATGAGCAATACTTCAACTTAGAGCAAAACCAGTAGAGTTCAGAACTGAAGTCACTCTCCAGTGGTTGGAAGGTGGGGAACAATGCCTGGAAGAGTCTCTGGTAATTATCAACTCTTGTTCCACTGTAATGAAGACACAATTCAAACTCCAATTTAGTCGCCCTGTGCCCTTCCTAGAGAAGACTGAGAGCTGATTTTTTTTTTTTTTTCAGAAGTCCCCTCATGCAAATTGAATATATCATTTTAAGCACTTCTGCCTCACTGAATAATTACATCAGAAAGCTTTTACACAAAGAATGTACCTCCCCATGCTCCTGGTAGGGAGGCCAGCTATTACTTGCCTGACATGAGCTGCTCTCCAGACTTTGCCCTGCTGTTGGTGGGATATGTTCAGGCAAATCAGTAGCTTGGCTGTAACGTTGGAACTTCCCTCACGCTGCTCTATTCCCTCCTGGGTTTTTTCCACTATTTCACAGACAAAAGAAGAGCTCAGCCACTCGCTGAGCTCAGTAATCCTCCTGGTACCTCCTGGGCTAGAGGTCAGGCTTCATATTTGCCCAGTGGAAGGGGAGGGGGGTTGGTGGCATTTTCTTCCAAACCAGTCTGACCTAAAGAGCTGTTGTGAAATCCCTGGCAGGGCACCGCTGTTTCCATAGCGCTCCGACTGGCAGAGGATCCTGCTGGGAATGTTAACATCCCTGTGGCACGGAGCCCCTGCGTGGCTTCTGGCTGGGGCACCAGGGAAATCACACTGACTCGACCCATATCCCAGAGTTTGCAGGGTCAGGGCCTGCAGCTCGAGCTGACCAGCTCCACGTTAAGATTAATTTTTTTTTTTTTTAGTGGCCTTTTAGTTGGGCAGAAAAACTGCAGCGAACAAACATTTCTGCTTCGTAACTGCGGGTCTGCAGAGGGGCACAGTGGGAGCAGGAGGAGTTCATACTTGCTCTGCTCATACAGTCTTGACCAAACAAAAGCAGGATTGTACAGGAGCTGCCCTTGGAGCTGGCTGAGACTTTTCTCAGGGAGAATTTAAAAGAGCCCATCTTTAATACTCCCAGAAGTTCTGGGGAGCACTGCCAGCCATTGTCTGCCTTGGCTTTGGTGAAGTTTTCTAAGCTGTGTGCAGATACTCAGTGTGGCTGTTACATGTCTGCCTTCTCTAAAAAGCCATCAGAAATTTGTTGCTGGGTTTGTTTTCTTTTAGCCCTTCTATTTCTCTAGTATTTAAATGCTGTTGTAGCTTCAAGCATGTATTGTCTCAATTTTTTTTGCCACAATTATTTGATGGCATCACTGAGAGCTGCCATCCCTCACTCTGGGGCTTTGTTAACTCCTCTTCCCCCAAACCCTTCCCAGTGATGTCAGAGAATGGGCAAAACCAGTATTTGTTTTAATTGTAGGTGTTGCTTTAACAATTGGACAGGAGCTGTCTCATGGCACCTTGTTCTAAATTAAGGAAATCTCGTGCTAATTGTGAAAACCTGATTATTATTAGACAGTGTGAGCTTTTGGAATGTGGGGACACCACTTCTTCCTATTCCATCTAGAAGTCTGTGGTGGGATGAAAGAGAATTGGCACACTCAGACTTATCTTCAGTCTCTAGAAAAATACTGGGACTCTTTGCAAGCACCCAGAAGGTAAAAACCTGCAGAGATTTTTTTTTTTCCAAGTACAAATCACGTCAGTTCACATTAGTAAAGCTTTTCACATTATCACAGGTGAGGTTCTTACAAGGCAGGGAAATAAAAGACCCGTGATGTGACAGCAAAGCTGGTTAAAGAGACACACTCAGAGGAGCTGTCAGGAACTGCTGATGGAAAGGCAGCATTTACCAAATGTGTTCTCTTGGATCAGACACTGCAGCCACAAAGGAGGTGTCCTTAAGAAACCAGGATTCCTTAGCGAAGCTCCGAGAAGTGCTCAGGACAGGTCACACTTATTTTCTAGGGCACTTTAGGGGTGGTTAATCCACCTCTGAGGCAGAGGTAGAGACTGAAGTTTCACAGAATTTCCTTAATCAGTAGACCATTTGTTTTTTAAAGGTTGATGAATTAGCTTCCCTCCGGTTATAGGCTGATAGGGGTGGGTTG